ATAGTCGAATCAGATTCGTGAAGTCCTGCCTATAGTCGACTAATAGTCAAATCATGTGTGTGGTGTTGGGGAGGGGGCGGGGCTTTAACATTTTAACGCCGCGATGAACAGAACATCACAAAAAGATATAGAAGAAAATGTATAAAAACATTTTGGATCAATAAAACTAAGAAATAACATAAATAACTGCAGAAAGGCCACACTGCAGATAGGATTTGCATTTCACATGCAAATCAAATTAAATCGGCTGAATTGCCTGTAGGAGCATGCTCTATGTAGGCCTACAGCGCAACATCGATGCAGTGAAAAATAATCAACAATTAAGAACACAATATACATTTATAATAAATAAAAATACAAAACGAAATAAGTCAGAATCAAGTCACAAGAAGCAGAACAAATGTGTGCAAAATGCCTAAAGTGCAGGGGAACAATATTCAAAACACAAGTCACAAATAGTTATATTAGATCACCCTGAGTGATCAATTAATAAAATAAAAATAAAGAAATTATTAAAATAACGAAAGTATGGCCAGGATTGTCAACTTTGTCTTTTTAACTGCAGAAACAACAATAAACGCTAAACTGGAGCGGCAGTCTTTTTAGCTAAACGTGTTCACACTTCACAGTATCCAAAAATCAAATTAGAAGTAGAACCGGCTGAAATGTTTTGAAATCACTTGTACCCATACCTGATCGAAAAAACAAAATCCAGTCTTTCACTCGGCCTGTGTCCGTTTGAGTCTTTTCAAATTGTGTGCGCGGATAAAATAGCCTACATTGTAAACCGCTTAACGTGAAAAACGCTTAACGGCTTTGTCCTAAAACTGTTATATTAAAAGATCAAATTCTGTACACACCTTATTAATAAAGCATACTATATAGCCTACAGAAAAGCAGATGAGCCCAGAATATGAACGCAGCGCGTTTTATTATAGGCTACGTTAAGCATTTTTCCTCCCATAGAAAACCGTTAAAGAAAAAGCTGTGACTTTCTAAAGGAGAAACGCGTTGCGTTCATATTCTGGGTTCATCTGCTTATCTGCACATGGAATGGTTTCTTAAGGTGTGTAGCCTACTGTGTACATACATTAAGCACGTAAAAGTGTCATTTAAGCGTTTTAAAAGCTTTTTTTCACGTTAAGCGTTTTAGAACGTCCTGAGGAAAACCAACCTGTTAACGTTGGCCGGCAGAAGTGCGATCATGGTTTTCCTGATGCTAAATCCAGCCTTGGAGATTATCCTTTCTGATGGTGTGCATCTTTAGATTTTCTTATCCCAGACATTTTTAAAGATTTAAATCCCTGCCGACAAGACGCTCCTCTGTCGGTCACGGATCGAAAGTGAAACTTAAATCTGTCACGGGGTGTTTGGATTTATTCACGCTGCACGCAGTTAAAAAATATTTATTAAAAGCTTCTTTCTTTGCACATTTTTATTGACAGCATTATAGGCTGTATTAACGTATTGACAGAAAACCAGTAGTTCTATGTGAAATCAGACATTGAGCACACTCATATAGCAAAAATGACATAATCCTCATTTAATAACACATCTGCGAAGATTCGACCGTGAGATTGGTAGTCGAATCAGGCTCCTCCTATCGAAGCATCGAATCTTCGACTATTCGGGGTCACCCCTAGTATGTACGTTTGTATATGGTGTGTTAGTGTTTTCTGGATTCCTGGTCTGAGTTATTTAGTAAAGTTGATTGTATTTGATCTGCTGACTGCTGCCTCTCCTTCAACCTGCACCACACCCGTAACAATCTGGCTATGTGAGACTATAGTTTGAATTAATCTTTTATTTGCGTGACACATTGACATTACGTTACAGAACGGCTCTTTCAGCATTATCCTGAACATTGTATAAGCATTCGCAAATGTCGTATGGCTGAAGATCTAAAAATAAGTTAAAATGGTTGGTTCAACTCATTTAATTGTCTTATTTTTATATATAAATTAGCTTAAATGTTAAGATAACAGAACTAAGATTTATTTTGATCTCACATGGCCTGCACTGTGTTGGATTTACTTAAAATGTATATGCACCATTTTTGCATCATACTTTTTAAGTAATCCCAACTTGGAATAATTTGACTTAAAATTAACAAGAAAACCTTTGTTATATGTACTTAAATATTTGAGTTCACGCAACATTCTTTACTTAAAAATATATGCATCACATTACATATATTTTTAAGTAAAGAATGTTGCGACAAAGATTGTATAACAAAGGTTTTCTTGTTCATTTTAAGTCAAATTATTCCAAGTTGGGATTACTTAAAAAGTATGATGCAAAAATGGTGCATATGTATTTTAAGTAAATCCAACACATCATTTTTTATGATGGGGAACGTAAACGTCTCATTCTTTTGACAAAAACGTCCTTCTCATACAAATGAGTCTATAGGCTTTCATAGACAACATAGGAAGTCTAGGAAGGACTCATTTTTTAGGTTTTCGTTACAAGCTGTTCACACATTGGGAATAAAAACGCGATTAAAACATTAAAATTCCCTTTAAAAGCCCTTGGTGCACTTTATGGAGCCACAGTACATTACAGGCCTTCGCCTCTCTTAAAGAGTGTTGATCTACTTCAGAGATGAAAGCAAAGCAAGCAATACTCGTTTCTTCTCCAAACGAGAGTGAGTGGATGAAGAAGAAAGAAGAACTGCTGCTTTACCCTGCAAAGCAATGCATCTCTTGTCTTGCTCACCAGAGTTTATCTGCTGGAGAGAAATAGGCCAGACTAATGGAGTGTGTCACCGAGACCCGAGGCCAACAGTGCTCACACTCACACACTCACAGTCTGAGGACAAACGCACAGCACTTAACTTCATTAGCAGCACCTGATACATAATCAGAGAGCATCACAAATGTGTCAAGTTTCTTTGAGTGCCTGAGACCTCATTCAAAATCTTAAGGTTTAGGGTTTTGATAGCTTTTATACAAAGGGACACTATGAAATAAAAGCAATAGGAAAATGCTTAAAGCTCATGAATTGAGAAATCGGATTTTCCTTGATCTTTTGACATAGAGGTCATTGTACTATAAAAAATATCCTGTAAGTTTCAGAAGTCAGGACTTCCTCGTTAGTCCAAACACAGCTTTTATTGAAACCAAGCTCAGAAAACGCCTCGTTTCGGAATTTGTCACATTATGATGTCATAGTGTGACGAAAGATCGACGCCCACTTCTACATCATTTCCTCTTTAGCCCCGCCCACCGATGTCCTGTAGTATAGTAAATACAAGACAGACGCAAACACAGACGTTTTGAAGTGCCAAGTTGTGGAAAAACACCGTCTTTGCATTGCCTTCCTTGTGATCCTAACATTAAGAATAGCGTGGATGAACTTTATTGATTTGCTTTATTCGCGTCAGTACAGACTGTTCGCTTAATTTGACTGCGGATTCATTTCTAAACAAGACATAATATGTTAATAATAAATAAAACGTGTGAAAGCTCAATGTACATTAAAACAAAAGGGCGACAAACCAAATGCTAATTCATGGCCGTTTCTCAATACCAAGTACGCAAACTTCGGACTTGCGTCCTTGGTAGTTCGGACTTGCCAAGTTCGACTCAGGAGAACGAACTCCCGAGGACGAGAGGACGCAAGTCCAGTTATTCTGCAAATGGAACAGCGGCGTTCTTGATCGCGTCACTCAGCACGCTCTGGCTACTCCGGTTATCTCTTTATTTATATTTTAGGCAACAATAAAACGAAATATGCTACAACTCTGCCTCTTTTCGTCAACAATAAAACACCACTCTGCCTCTTTTCATTTAAAAATCTTAAACATAGTAGCCTAATGGCCATGTGGTTCAGGCAATACGTACATTATCTTCACTGCATATATTTATAACAACATGAACATGATCTTTTTGTTTTCATTTTAAAAATATGAAACATTATTGATTTTTATTGACATTTAACAAACAGAGACAGGGTTGTGTCATTTTATTTTATTGTACATATAGTGAAGAGAATGTTAAAATAAATATAAATACATATATTTTAAAGTATATAAAATAAAATTACACAACCCTGTCTCTTTTTGTTAAAGGTCAGTTTTAATGATCAATAATATCTACAATGATAAATAAGGCAAACAATTCAAACATAAGTAAGCTCTCTAATAGGCTTCAAAGTTAAAGTTAAATAGCCTAAATATATAAAGTTATGAAACTTCACTTTGCCCTCAGCCAAAACGATTTTTTGCCATGGAACAAACAATAGTTTAATGAGACCAAAGATCAACTTATACACAAGACGAATTATACGTCAAGTTTATCCACTAGACTAGAGACATCAGAGCCAGCGGCAAACGTCAGAAGCACTAGCCGAGGAAAGGCTGTTCCAGTCGGGGTTGATGAGCGTTGAACACCCGCCGTGAACGCCTGGATGTCACAACTCCGAAAACGTCAGATACAATTTTCAAATAGGCGCTATCTTTATAAATAAACCACAGATTTGAGCTTTAAACAACCACATTCTCGCCTGAAACACTCTTAAATTTACATTTCATGACACAATAACACTAGTATTTTGATATTACGCGGGTTTTCTCCTCTGCTATTGACGCTTGCTGGTTGGTGCGAGATGCATTCTGGGAAACCTGGCTGTCTCAAGTCCGCACAAGTCACCTCTCGATGCATCCTCGGTAAACAGGGCGGATCAAGAACACATCCGGGGATTTGAACTGGACTTGGCTAGATGTGAACTTTGAATTGGAACAGTACTTGGGCAGTGACTGATGACGTTTCACAAGTCCACAAGAACACAAGTACAGACAAGAACGCATATTGAGAAACGGCCCATGTTAATTTTTCAATTCAGCTTTTCACTGAAATTAGTATGCTGATAATTTGCACCTGTATTGATTTAGAAAAGTAAAAGCTTTCTCATTCGGGGTCTCGGACATCTGGCCTCCACTGTGTGTCGCTGGCATCTTTAACATAAGATAGGTTTGTATGAATATGATATTTGCTTACTGATGTGTAGAGGTGGCCCTCGCTGTTCATGCCTATGTAGAGTCCTGACTTAGTGCTCTGGATGGCGACTATCCTCAGACCCACAGGAATCAAGTTGAACAGCACTGCAATTCAGAGAGAGAGAGAGAGAGAGAGAGAGAGAGAGAGAGAGAGAGAGAGAGAGAGATTTTAATCATCAGCGTGGACACTTTGAAATTTCTCTGTAATAAATGATGAACGATTTTCAATATCTCTTTTTTCAGCACATTATGAAGGATGAGAATTTCTCTTCAGTGCACCTGAGGTAACACACACACCCCTCCTAAACTGAGAGTTTCAGCAGAAACCTCCTGGCATTACAGACCCCCAGTGAAATGAGCTTTCAGATTCGGCAAGGTTTCAAAGAGAAACAGAGACACCTCCTTTCACCTCGTCCTTTGTTCAACCATCGCTCTGCCAGCCGTAGCCAAAAGGATTTCCAGTGTCTCCTAAACTGGGATGTTAGCTCGAGGCGTGCGCATGACACCGGGACGGTTGCGCGAGCCTTTTGCACTGCGGATGAGAGGGTGTCTATTTTGGTGTGGAGTGTTGACCGACGGGACCGTTGGTGAGAAACGTCTTGAGCGACATGTTGACTTTAGCAGTATTGACAAATGGCCTGTGGCAATGTGTCTCCACGGGAGCGATGCAGAATCCAGGAGCCCCTCCTAATGTGGTGATAACCGCGGGCATGACAATGCAGACCTCATCTGAACCCAAAACCTTACAGACTTCAAGACAACAATACTGGAGAGCCGATTAATGACTGCGGAAGTAGAAATGAAGAGAAATGAAGTGAAGAGGGACTTTCTTTCACACTCAGTTCCAGTTTTAATGTCTTTTCTGGCTGTGAGGAATAACGCAACAGTGTATATGAGCAGAGTCAGTTTAGTCCACAGCTTTAGTGGAGCTTCAATGGGTGTCGTGGGTGCCAGCAAAGAAGTCAAAACAGTGGAAATGTAATATTGCCAAGTGAGAAAAGAAAAAAAAACGTATAAAAAATAATAATAATAATAATATATACTTCTGCTTCAATAGGTCAGGTAGTGGGTGCCAGCAGACAAGACAGTGGATTACTTAGTGAATTTTTTTTTTATAATAATAAATAAAAAAATAACATTTAAATTAAATTAAATTAAATAATACTTTTACTTTAATAGGTGCCGTAGGTGCCAGCTAAGCAGAGAAGACAGTGGATTGCTCAAAAAAAAATAAAAAAAATAAAAAATAATAATAATAATAATAATAATAATAAAATAAATAAATAAATAAAATAAAAATAAAAACTTCTGCATCAATAGGTGTAATGGGTACCAGCAGACAAGACAGTGTATTGCTTAGGGAAAATAAACAATAAAAAATAATAATAATAATAATAATAAAAAAATAAAAAAATAATAATAAATAAATAAATAAAATAAAATAATAAAATAAAATAAAATAAAATAAAATAAAATAAAATAAAATAAAATAAACCAACAAAAAACTTCTGCATCAATAGGTGTCATGGGTGCCAGCCGACAAGACAGTGTATTGCTTAGGGAAAATAAACAATAAAATAAAATAAAATAAAATAAAATAAAACACTTTTGTGAAGCAGACAAGACAGTGGAATAGTTATATTTTTACTAAAAATAAATAAATAAATAAATAAATAAAGAAAGAAAGAATAATAATAAAGAATAAACAAAATAAAATAGATTCATATTCAATCTCAGATGACAACACTAAGAAACAGAAAGGACATGAGCACACTTTCCTAACTCTTCTCAAATAATAGCGGAGTGTTGTGTTGGGAAAGCTATTGTGAAATATATATATATAAATATATCATTATATAATGATAATAAATATATAATGATAAATGTGTAAATCTGCTAAAAGTGAGCAGAATTGTGTAAACTTATAGAAATAGACTGTGCTGATAAGACTATAAGACGCATGGACTAAACACCACAAAACTGTCATTCTGATCTGAAAATCAGCATCAAATGTAATGAAGACCGCAGCACTAACTTCACCAAGCCTTTAACTGTGATAATCAAACACACTGAGACATTAAACAACATTTGTCCGCCATCATGATGAAATTAGATACCGCTAGAAGAAGCGTTTGATCATCAAGTTATGTGTGTGTGTGTTGAGTGTGTGTTTGCACCCTGACAGTCAGGCTCGTTTTATTGCTTTAAGAGACACAAAGAAATGAATGACAACCTTAGGTCTGTCTCTGTCAAAGTCCAAGTCAGTCTGTGCTCGGCATTATGGGATATGGGTCAGGGCACGAAACTCGCCTGTCGTTCATCCTCTCTCTCTCTCTCTCTAGTATAGAGAATCCTTCCTTTCTTCTTTCAATATACCTCAGCACATTGTGTTCGTACACTGTCAACAGCTCTGACGTCTCGCTGTCAGTTAAAGACCTTCAGAGCTTCTCGCTTTCCTTTTTTTCTCCCATCCTTCTGGGCGGGTTGAAGGGAAGTCATTAAATGTTGGCATGACATTAGTAAAACTTTGTGAGTGTTTAAGTGTTCTTAAGGGGGCAATGCTGAGGAAATGATATTTGCTGTAATGTTTCATCTCTAGTTGACCATACTCGCCAGATGCTTCAAGATAAAATGTCTGTCACCAGATGGACATTTACGGGATAAAAGTAAACTAATTCCATAGTTCGTTCCCCCTTTTGTTTAACCTTTCTTTCAGTTGTAGTTAAACTTTCTTTCCGTCTAGACGCTGGCCTCACACCATCTTTTCTTTCTCGCCGCTGTCTTGTTCTCTTTGGTTAACCTTTTCTTTGTGCCAAAATAAGATGCCAGAATCTTGCTCTTTTCGATTCTCCCTCTTTATCTCCCTCTGGCCATAAACACACTGCAGATACACACAGTTGTCACTCCTCTTCTGAGAGCTGTATGCTGTAGTATTAATATAAATATATTACCAAAAAAAAAAAAAAAAACCCACCTGTATAGTAGCCTGGGTGTGCAGGCGAAACTCGAAAAATTTGAATATCGTGCAAAAGTTCATTTATTTCAGTAATTCAGCTTAAAAGGTGAAACTAATATATAGACTCATTACATGCAAAGTGAGATATTTCAAGCCTTTATTTGTTATATTTTTGATGATTGTGGTTTACAGATATGAAAACCTTTTCACAATATTCTATTGAAGTTGGGGTTTTTATAAGCTGTGAGCCATAATCATCAAAATTATATCAAATAAAGGCTTGAAATATCTCACTTTGCATGTAATGAGTCTATATTAGTTTCAACTTTTAAGTTGAATTACTGAAATAAATTAACTTTTGCACGATATTCAAATCTTTCGAGTTTCGCCTGTACTCACCAAGGCTGCGTTTATTTGATTAAAAGCATAAAACATTAATGTTGTGAAATATTACTACAATTTAACATACTCTTTTCTACTTTTGATTTATTTTTAAGGTTTATTTATTTTTGTGATCCTTACAAAATGCTGATTTTGGTGCTCAAGATTACATTTAATTATTATTATTATTAATGATAATACAGTTTATAATGGTCTCTGTTTCTTGTTTCTGCTTTGTTTCCCGGACATTTTAGGGGCCGTTTACAACCTTTTACGCGGTCTGGCCGTTCATTTACACGACAATGGCGTTTTGGGGGCCTGAAAATGCAACATTTTGAAAATGGGTTTCAAAGTGCAAGTTTTTGAAACCGATACCGTTATTGTCTCCATGTAAACTACAAAAAGGTGAATTTGTGAAAACGGTAACATCATGCGCATGCGTATTACGTGTTCAGTCTATAGAGTGTTTCTTTAAAAAGTGATATCGCCAACTACTGGCCTGGCATGAATAATACAGCGGTTTTAGTCGTTTTTGCGGATTTGATTTTTGACAACACTGTCGTCTGTATGCAATAAACGCAAAGGAAAAACGGTAACACTTTACAATAAGGTTCATTTATTAAACATTAGTTAATGCATTAACTAACATGTACTAACCATGAGCAATACATTGTTACTGTTTTTGTTCATCTTTGTTAACGTTAGTTAATACAAATCCAGCTGTTCATTGTTTGTTCATGTTAGTTCACAGTGCATTAACTAATGTTATCAAGATTTTAATAAAGTATTAGTAAATGTTGAAATTAACATTAACAAAGATTAACAAATGCTGAAGAAGTATTGTTCATTCTTAGTTAATGTTAACCAATGTAGTTAACTAATGAACCTTATTGTAAAGTGTTACGGGAAAAACTTTACTGTTTTTTTAGTGCATTGTAGTCGTGTAAACGCACTTTAGTTTGTATTTACTTCCTTGCACTGTATAACATTATATAACACTTAATTTGAGTATTGACTCTCCTGGTAAAGCATGCTGGGAAATGGAAATCTTAGCCCAGTTTCAGTTCAATTTAAGTTTGTCTAAATTAAAAGAAACAAGCTCATAAAACTCAAAACAATTAAACAATTCAGATGACTTAAAATGCGTCAGTTTTTTGTGAACTCAAAAGAAAAAGAAAGTTCTGAATACTCATTAGAAAAGTTCATTTGATTTTACTCATTTGTTTAATCTCTCATATCACATATCTCTCATGTCTGTGTGGCGAGTATTTACTGAGTTACAGTTCATTTTCTGACGCGTTTCAGAAGGGACTTCGAAAAGCATAACATTTTGTTTTTATTGTGAGGGTACACAAATAAAAGTAGTAAATTAACAGTTTCGAATAATTTATAACACTTGTCTGTATGACCAAAATCAATGGAGTATTTTGAGTCTCTTTCGCACTGATAAGAGAAAAATTTTACCCTTCTCAAACCAATTAATTAATTTAAGCGTTATTATTTACATTGAGTTCCTGTGTTAACCCCATTTTCTTTTGTTCCCATTTCTAGTTTGTTTCCATAGTTACTCATTAGTTAATATATAAGTCCCACCTGTTTCTTGTTTAGATTCTCATTATCTTGTGTATTTAAACCCTCAGTTGGTTTGGTAAACAATAATTGAGAAGTGTAAATCCAATGGATATGGCAACAATCTACCTGAAGGAGAACATGTGTCTATACCAGCGGTTTTCAATAGGTGAGGCGCGCCTCCCCAGGGGGGCGCCAA